GATGAACTTAAAGACCAAAACCAGCTTTACAGCGGCCGAACATCCATGATGGCTGACGCTCTGGAAACTGGAGACCTCAGCCTCACTCTGACAAAACTCCGCCTCTCTGACAGCGGCAACTACACCTGCACCGTCAGATCATTTCAGGGAGAATGGAAAGTGAGAAACATACAGCTGCAGGTCAAAGGTCAGCAACAAACCCTAAAACCTATTCTTGATTAGTAGTTCCCAACCTGGAGGTCGGTTGCAAAACTGAATGAAAATATACACAGTAGGTCTATATCTCAGCATTTGGCTCACTTATCTGAAGAAAAGTAAATACATTTTTTAAAGTTAATTAAGTCTGATTGAACAATGGCCAGCATCGGGGTCAAGAAAACACTGAATTTGTCAGAAAAGAAGCCATTTAAATTTTACTTTTACACAAGCTTCACGCAGTGACTGAGTTCACTATTTGTCGTAATTGTACAGTTTTGAATAAAATATGTCACTTAGTCAGGGGTTGTCAGATTACTAAATTATAGAAAAGGGGTCCCTCAAGATAAAAAGGCTGGGAAGCACACTGCTCTAGATATAGGTCTGTAGAAAGCAATCAGAGGTCAGTGCTTTAGATACGGGTCAGAGGTCAGTTTTCTAGTTTACAGGCTGCACACACTGTAGACGACATTCACTTTGTTACAGTCTTTCAACAACTGAACATAATTTATTACAAAATGGACACAGATGGTCCAAAACACTCAGGGTCTGTCTCATCTGTATGAATGTCTCCACATGTCCATCAGTCCTGTCTTCTCCCTGAGTATCAGTGGCTGCCACTGAAGATGTGATGGAGAGATAGAAGGAAAAGATGTGAGGAAAGAGGAGTTCAGACAGTTAACACACTAATTTAAACACCATGTTGAATCAATAAAGTCAGTCTATCAGTTTGTTCTGTTATTGATCCTGTTTGTGAGTCCGATCACAAACAGGACCAGATTGAGGATCCAGGAGCAATAAGACCTGAAATAAGGCTGCTGTGATTGAACCTCTCTGTCTGTGTGACCTCACAGTTTCCCAGCATGCCTCAGTTGTGGAGCTGTATGAGGGGGAGGAGTTTGTCCTGCTGCCCTGTGAGTATCAAATGTCTGAACTGGACAACCCCACAGTGGTGTGGAGCCGCTACGATCTCAATCCTCCAACCGTCCACCAGCGTCAGCAGGAAGGTGATGAACTTAAAGACCAAAACCAGCTTTACAGCGGCCGAACATCCATGATGGCTGACGCTCTGGAAACTGGAGACCTCAGCCTCAGTCTGACAAAACTCCGCCTCTCTGACAGCGGCAACTACACCTGCACCGCCAGAGCATTAGGAGGACAACGGAGAGTGAGAGACATACAGCTGCAGGTCAAAGGTCAGCAACAAACCCTAAAACAGACAGGTCAGAGGTCAGTACTGTATATTCAAGACAGAGGTCAAAAGTCATGTTATTTATGTTTCTGTTTCCCACAGCACGGTTTCCATCCTGGGCCACAGCTCTCCTCGTTCTCCTGGTTCTCGGTCTTATTGTTGGGGGTCTTTTTGTGTATTTTCGGCAATATTTCATGTCAGGTATGTCACTACTGCATTACCCATAATCCTGATGGTTACCATCTTTACTCTCGTATCTTTGTGACTGTTGAGCAAGTTTTCAAAGAAGTACAGGGCGTTGAGGGCAACTATAAACCAAAGGTCACACTACTTGAACAGTGTGTGGTGGAATCTTGCTCTGGTCACACTCAGGTAGGCAATGTGAACCAAGGGTAAGAGAAGGATGGTGCAGTGAAGTCTTGTTACAATCAGAGTAACTGCTGCTGTCTGTACAGCTTAAATTATGGTTGGTTGTTAGAGTTGTTCTGGGTCAAAGGTCAGTGTTGAAGATACACGTCAGAGATCTGTACTAGAGATACAGGTTAGAGATCAGTGCTGTAGATACACGTCAGATGTCAGTAGACACAGGTCAGAGGTTCTGTCTATTTGATTTATATAGTAATAACAATACTGATATTAATATTAAAGGAGCATTTCACCCGTGGAAACATTAATATTTATTGAAAGTGGGTTATATATATGTAGTCGAAATGTAACATACATTTTGAATTTGGTGCCTATTTGACCGAGAAAAGACAGAAAGTGACTTTAGGGCGCATTTGTATTAAAAACAACAACTCCCACAATGCACAGCTCCGCAAGCCGCTCCCACTAACACTATCAAGGACTACAACAACGTGAATGCAAACCATTTATTTACAAAAATATATCAACAACAACAAAAATAAATATGTTAACAATGACATGTTATAGTTCCTCCTGAGCGTCCTCAACTCCTTGGTGCCCGCAGTACTGGCCATCTGGAGCTGGATGTTTCTGTCGGATAGCCTCATAAGCGGGTAAAACGACACGATGGCTTCGACCCAATCTCTCACCTTGCAGGACCCATTCCAGAAAGGCTGTTAGACGATATTGTCTACAAGACAGTGAGCACACAGTTAGAGATACATGGTCTTTGTGTTTAGTGTGCCACAAGCTGTTGCAGTAAAGAAGTTAACGTTAGTTCAGTTGGCTGACGTTACGTATTAACCGGGAATAACTTTGTGATAATACTTGAACAAATTGTGTACATACATGCCACGTTGTTATAAGACAGAAAATAGAAACACTCACTTTACAGTCAGACATCCGTGTGTCCGTAGGCGCACAGTGAGAGCACAGACACCAGCAGTCCGCTCGAGCCAGTCCGGGCTCCTCGTCCGCGACAGGCAGGTCCTCTGCCTTGGGGCAGAGGCCTCAGCCGCTGCTCCGCTATTTAGCGGCTCATAAAGGTAGCCACGAACATCTGATTCGACCATCATACTTTTGAAATTTCTTCCATATTACATTGATTACCATAGTCGTAACGTTTGGCTCCACAGCGCCTCGGCTTAACTTCCAAACAAGATGGCGGTTATATTTTTTAGTCCCACCCACTGATCTGTAATAGGTCTGTAGCGTGAGTGAAAAAAAAATGAGGAAGTAGTGTTTGTAGTCTCACCCCCTCTACAGAGATATGAGACTTCCTGCTTCCAATGACGCAATGACGATTTTTACATCATTGGAAGCAGGAAGTGCAACACCAAAATCCTTATTTCTCCCCTCTCAGGAAAGTGAGGGAATGATGCACGACCATTCAAAAAATATGACTGGGGTTCTAATGATACAAAGCTTAATGCAAATGGGTGAAGTGTCCCTTTAACTTCACATTATAAGTTTCTTAAGTTGTCTCTGGTATAAAGAGATTTTAAAAAGTAAATGTAGAAAAATGGAACCCAGTCAAAAATCAAATCTTCATATTCACTTTGAGATTCTGAATATCATCACCAAAAAATAGCAATAATGACGGTGCCCTGTTTGCAACTGTCCTGACCGGCTGACAAACCCCCTTATACCATAGTCTGCGTGAATACTGGATTCTGATTGGCTGCAGGGCATCCGTTAATTCCTGATGTAGACACCTACAAAGTAGTCCCAGTGAACTGTCTGTTTACCGTTCTAAATAAATTAAATAACCTTACTGAAAACATGACAGAATATCAGATTATCTGACTGACTTAGAAATAGATTTTCTACAGTGCAGCTGATGTTGTGGTTTGTTGTCCTCTCAGTCTACAAGGTGGAGGTGGATTCAGGGGTGGAGTCTGTCCTGCTGCCCTGCAAAACCACAGTTCACCTGCCTGAGGACGTCACAGTGGAGTGGACGGACAGATACAACAGGAAGGTCCATGTGTATCAGAACGGTTCTGATCAGCCTGAAGAACAGAACCAGGATTACAGAGACCGAACAGAGATGAAGAGAAACCTGCTGGAACCTGGAGACCTCAGTCTGACCCTGAAATACCCCACATACAGAGACAGTAACACCTTCACCTGCACCGTCTACAACAGGGAGAGAAAGATCCTGATGAAGAAAGAAGTGCTTCTTGAGGTCAAAGGTCAGTGCTTTGAATACGGTATCATTACTATACTACATAAATATAACATGTCCTCTCGTTGGTGGAAATGTTCATATTGAATTGGAGACAATGACATGCTAGCATTGCTAGCATTGCTAGCATAACGTTAGATTTCTGTTGTATTTGTTGTTGTTTCTGAACCAAAGGATTCTACCATGTCAGAAATCATGGTGTAGTTCTGGACCTAAAAACCCAAACCCACATCAACAGAATCACAAGATCCTCCTAATACCACCTTAAAAACCCAGACTGAAAGGGATTCAGAGCGCTGCTGCCAGAGTCTAAGTGGAACACATGAGTCCAGGTCTTAGAGCTCTGCACTGGCTTCCTACACATCAAAGAATGTATTTCAAAATACTGTTATTGACGTCCAAACACTGAATGGTTCGGGGCCAGTCTGTGATATGCTGCTCTGTTATGGACCATCCAGAGCTCTTGGTTCATCTGGGTCAGGTTTGCTCACAGTACCCAGGGTCAGAAGCAGCTGTCAGTTTCTATGCAGCACAGATCTGGAATAAACTTCCAGAAGTGTTGAGGTCTGCCTCACCCTGTGTTCTTTTAAATCCAGACTTAAAACATTTCTGTTGGCCACTGACTGACCACAGCTAGATTTATTGAAATAATCTGAATATCTAGGCTCAAGTAAAGTGAGAAATCTCTAGAAATAAGTGGTCAGACAATCATTCCAAGAACTGTATGAAGTCCAATAAAAGGGGATTAATGAATCAAAACCAGATCAGTGTTAGTTTTGTTTCTAGATAATAATCTACCAAGCTCAGGTTTTGGTCTGGGAGTTCTGTGTGCTGAGCACTAAAACAGTTTATCAGCTGACATGTGGTGAGGTGGCTCTGCCATCACAATATCCATCAGTGGCTCCATCACTTTGGTCCAGACTGAGATATCTCTATCAACTACTGAATGCACTGACACGTTTTCACTGGATTGAAATAGATTTTCTACAGTGCAGCTGATGTTGTGGTTTGTTGTTCTCTCAGTCTACAAGGTGGAGGTGGATTCAGGGGTGGAGTCTGTCCTGCTGCCCTGCAAAACCACAGTTCACCTGCCTGAGGACGTCACAGTGGAGTGGAAGAACAGAAACAACTGGAAGGTCCATGTGTATCAGAACGGCTCTGATCAGCCTGAAGAACAGAACCAGTATTACAGAGACCGAACAGAGATGAAGAGAAACCTGCTGGAACCTGGAGACCTCAGTCTGACCCTGAAATACCCCACAAACAGTGACAGAGGAACCTACACCTGCACCGTCTACAACAGGGAGAGAAAGATCCTGATGGAGAAACAAGCGCTGCTCTGGATCAATGGTCAGTGCTGTAGATACAGGTCAAAGGTTCTGTTTCCATTTCAATGGTTGTGATATTTGGAGACTAAAGATCTGGATCAGATCCAGATCAGCCGGAATAACAAAGATTAGTCTGAGACATGAAGGACTGCGATTGGCTCATATCTGATTATGAAACCAACAAAAAGTCAACCATCAATGTTTACTGATCATCCAATCATATCTTTAATAATACACTGAGGGAAGGAAATAACATTAAAGCTAACTGTCCGCTGTGTGAAGAGGGCGACCTGCCGTTTGTTTGCTGGTCAAAGCGTCATCAGGGGTATCAGGTTACGGTAACAGGAAGTGACCTGATGAGAGGTCACAGGAAGTGACCGTCATGATAAAAGTTGAGGTTAAATCCTCCAAAATGGTCCCAGTGGTCCCAACAGTAGAAATGATGTGAGTGAATGTGTTGCTACAGAAACAATGAGACATTTGTTTGATCAGTGATGTTGAACCTGTGTTTGAAATGCTGTGTGGAACTAAGATTCATTCACTGTTACATTTGAGCAACAGACAGCAGTTCAACACTGAGATGAGACATTACTGTGAAGCAGCACATGGACAGAAAATCACAACATGTCCAACAGCTTTAAAACCTGCTTTTAGTTCCTATATTTCTGTCCCCTGTTACCTGCTGCTCTCATCTGGTTCTGTCCTTCAGGGTTCTCTACAACTTTGTAATCAGTCAATAAAGTTATTACAAACTGCTGCTGCTGTCTGTACAGCTGATGTTGGGGTTTGTTGTTCTCTCAGACTGTCAGGTGGAGGTGGAGGAGGGGGCGGAGTCTGTCCAACTGCCCTTTAAGACCACAGCTGACCTGCCTGAGATGGCTAAAGTGGAGTGGTGCCGCTATGAACCTCAATACATGACAGTCCATGTGTATAAGAACGGTTCTGACCGGCCTGAAAAACAGAACCAGAATTACAGAGACCGAACTGAGATGAAGCAAGACCTGCTGGAAATTGGAGACCTCAGTCTGATCCTGAAATACCCCAAAGAGAGAGATACAGGAAGATACCGCTGCAACGTCAACAATAAGAAGGGAAGACACCAGATGCATCCAGAGAGGGAAATCAGTGCAGCTCACAGTCAGAGGTCAGTACTGTAGATACAGGTCAGAGGTTAGTGCTGTAGATTCAGGTCACAGGTCTCTGTGTCTGTCTGTGTCTGACTGTCCTCTGTCTCCTCTGCAGGGAGAACCAGGAACAGAAGCAGCTCCATTGATCCAACTCCTCTGATGGCTGATCAGTCTGTTTGATTGGTCTGTTGATCAATCTTTGATTATTGATCTTGTTGATTTGATTGTTTGATTTATCTGATCTGACTGATTAATTTACTTTGATTGATTAATTACTTGGCTTTTCTGCCCATAATCTCATGTTGTTTATTATTTTTTAGTTGTCTTTGATTTTGGTGTTTACAAGTTCTATATGTATATATCCTCTTACTGTTAATAATCAGTATTGAGTATTGAATGAGTTCTACACAGAAATATCCTAAATGTTAATATATAGACCTACTGTGTATATTTTTAACTACTTACAATAGAAGTTCAGTAAACTCAATTAAATGCAGTCAGACCAACATGAAGCCATTTAACCATGTGGAAATACTTTCTCTGATTGAATGAAGTTATCGTTTGAGTGTCAGTCAGCTGAACTGTTCTCATGTGTTTGAATCCATAAAGTGTTGTGAGCAGATGAGTTATGGATTTGATAATTTCACACTCTGTTTAGAGAATCATGAATATTGAGGAGAACAACTCTAAATAAAGCTCAAATGTACAGCGCCCCCATGTGGCAGAGCAGATTTCTCTTATTTTATCTACGTGTGATGATGGAGGCCATGTGTCTCAGATTGATGATTTCATTTAATAACATAATGAGTGTAAACTGTGTCTGTAGTGACAGCGTCCATAAAGCGTTATCAGCAGTGAAATATCTGCAGCTTCCACAATCTAATATTGATTCTCACTATTACAGTTGCTCAATCTCATCAACTGCTAGTACATAATAGCCTTGCTATTGCTAGTGTTAGCATCAGTGATAAAGCGTCTGTCTGTCTGTCTGTCTGTCTGTCTGTCTCCAGGATCGTCTCTGTCCAGCAGAGGTCAGTGTAACACCATTACAGTCTTTCTGATCTGATCACACAAATCTTTAACTGTTGTAAATGTCCCTTGAACAAAGACAGCGAATGTACAAACACATTTTCTGCTTTAAACCCTGTTTCTGACATTAACATATACCTATTATACATATATGTACATATATACATATTCAGATCATATTCAGATCTACACTAACTGAACACCAATCAGTCTGGGCCCTAGCATACAACAGACCTGAGGTAAATTCAATTTCAATTCAATTCAATTCAATTTTATTTGTATAGCGCCAATTCATAACAGAAGTTATCTCAGGACACTTTTCAAATAGAGCAGGTCTAGACCGAACTCTTTAACATTAATTACAGAGACCCAACAGTACCACCATGAGCAAGCACTTGGAGACAAGGGCAAGGAAAAACTGCCTGTTAAAAGGCAGAAACCTAGGACAGATCCTCCGGCTCTAGGTGGGTGGTCGTCTGTCTCGACCAGTTGGGGTGAGAGAGAGAGAGAGAGAGAGAGAGAGAGAGAGAGAGAGAGAGAGAGAGAGAGAGCGACAGACAGACAGACAGACAGACAGACAGACAGACAGACAGACAGACAGACAGACAGGTGCACAGCAACAACAGTATTGGCAATGGCAGTCAAGCAGGACCATGGCAGGAGGCTCCACCAGGATCCATGAGAACCTGCGAGACGAGAAAGCACAAGAACTCCGGGGAAGAAGTGGAGTTAGTAACATGCATTAATGGGACATGAATGAGTGCAGAAAGAGAGAGGAAGAGAGTAGCTCAGTGCACCATGGGAAATCCCCCGATAGTCTAGGCCTATAGCAGCATAACTAAGGGATGGTTCAGGACTCACCTGATCCAGCCCTAACTATAAGCTTTATCAAAGAGGAATGTCTTAAGCCTACTCTTGAATGTGGTGAGGGTGTCTGCCTCCCGAACCACAACTGGAAGCTGGTTCCACAGGAGAGGAGCTTGGTAACTGAAGGCTCTGGCTCCTGTTCTACTTTTAGAGACTATAGGAACCACAAGTAGCCCAGCATTCAGAGAACGTAGTGTTCTAGTGGGGTAATAGGGTACTATGAGCTCTTTAAGATATGAAGGGGCCTGACCATGAAGAGCTTTATAGGTGAGGAGGAGTATTTTAAATTCAATTCTACATTTTATAGGGAGCCAATGCAGAGAAGCTAGTACAGGAGAGATGTGATCTCTTTTTCTAGTTCCTGTCAGTACTCGTGCTGCAGCGTTCTGAATTAATTGGAGCGTTTTAATGGACTTATTGGGGCAACCTGATAATAAAGAGTTGCAGTAATCCAGCCTTGAAGTAACAAATGCATGGATTAGTTTTTCTGCATCTGTCTGTGATAGGATGTGTCTAATTTTTCTAATATTACGTAAATGAAAGAAGGCAGTCCTAGAGGTCTGCTTTATGTGGGAGTTAAATGACAAATCCTGGTGCTAGAGGCCAAGTTAATGCCATCTAGAGTGACTATATCTTTAGACAGTGAGTCTCTAAGGTTTTTGGGGCCAAGAACAAGAATTTCGGTTTTTTCTGAGTTTAACATCAGAAAATTGCAGGTCATCCAGGATTTTATGTCCTTTAGACATGTTTGTAATTTAGATAATTGATTAATTTCATTGGGTTTGATTGATAGATATAACTGCGTATCATCTGCATAACAGTGAAAGTTAATGGAGTGATTCCTAATAATGTTGCCTAAAGGGAGCATATATAAAGTAAATAGTATTGGTCCAAGTACAGAACCTTGTGGAACTCCATGACTAACTTTAGTATTTATGGAGGATTCATCGTTAACATGTACAAACTGAGAACGATCTGATAAGTATGACTTAAACCAGGTTAGTGCGGTTCCTTTAATGCCAATTTGATGCTCAAGTCTCTGTAAAAGAATATCATGGTCAATGGTGTCAAATGCAGCACTAAGATCTAATAATACAAGTACAGAGACAAGTCCATTGTCAGAAGCAGTCAGAAGGTCATTATTAACTTTAACCAGAGCTGTCTCTGTGCTATGATGAACTCTAAATCCTGACTGAAAATCCTCAAATAAACTATTGTTATGTAGAAAGTCACACAACTCTTTGGCGACTACTTTCTCCAGAATCTTAGAGAGGAACGGGAGGTTAGAAATCGGTCTATAGTTGGCTAAAACCCCTGGGTCAAGAGTAGACTTTTTAAGAAGGGGTTTAATTACAGCTACTTTAAAGGACTGTGGTACATATCCTGATAATAAAGAAAGATTAATCATATCCAGTAAAGAAGTGCCAATTAAGGGAACAACTTCTTTAAGCAGCCTAGTTGGGATCGGGTCTAACAGACAGGTTGATGGCTTCGATGAAGAAATGATTGAAGTTAACTGATGAAGATCGATAGCAGAAAAACAGTCTAAATATATATCTAAGTTTACATTGGCAGACGTCCCTGAACTTGGAGAGCCACTGATAACTGTTGATGGCAGTTGGTGATTAATTTTTCTCTAATAGTAATAATTTTATTATAGAAGAAGCTCATGAAGTCATTGCTACTTAAGTTTATTGGGATATGTGGCTCGATAGAGCTGTGACTCTCTGTCAGCCTGGCTACAGTGCTGAAGAGGAACCTAGGGTTGTTCTTATTTTCTTCTATTAGTGCTGAGTAATAGGCTCCTCTGGCATTACGGAGGGCCTTTCTATAAATCTTAAGATTATCATGCCAAATTGAGCGATATTCTGATCATTTGGAAGAGCGCCATTTCCTTTCAGATTTCCTAGCTATTTGCTTTAACTGGCGGGTTTGGTGGTTATACCAAGGTGCTAGTCTCCTATGTTTTAATAATTTCCTTTTTATAGGAGCGATAGAGTCTAATGTTGATCGTAGTGAGCCTGTAGCACTATCGACAAGATTATCAATTTCAGAGGGACTAAAGTTGTTATAGGACTCTGTTAAATTCAGACATGGCATTGAATTAAACACTGAAGGAATCTCCTCCTTAAATTTAGCTACAGCACTGTCAGATAGACATCTGCTGTAGGAAGTTTTGCCTAATGGCTTATAATCTAATAGTATGAATTCAAAAGTTATTAAATAATGGTCAGATAGGAAAGGATTATGTGGGAAGACTATTGTTCTAAGACTAAATGTTCAATATCAATGCCATATGATAAAACAAGGTCAAGAGTGTGATTAAAACAATGAGTTGGTTTATTTACACTCTGACAGAAGCCAATTGAGTCTATTAATGATATAAATGCATTACTAAGGCTGTCATTGTCAACATCCACATGAATATTGAAATCACCCACAATAATGACTTTATCTGATTTAAGGACTAAACTTGATAGAAACTCTGAAAATTCAGATATAAAATCAGAGTACGGTCCAGGAGCGCGGTACACTATAACAAATAGAACTGGCTGCAGTGTTTTCCCAGTTTGGGTGAGAAAGGCTAAGAACAAGGCTTTCAAATGAATTATAATTTAGTTTAGGTTTAGGGTCCATTAAAACACTCGAATCATATATGGCTGCCACTCCACCTCCTCGGCCTGTGCCTCGAGGAATGTGAGTATTAATATGACTGGGGGTGGATTCATTTAGGCTAACATACTCCTCGTGGGACAACCAGGTCTCAGTAAGACAAAGTAAATCAATATCATAATCTGATATTAATTCATTCACTAAAACAGCTTTAGAGGACAGAGACCTGATGTTATAACGGCCCACATTTCATTCTTTTATTTTGTGCTACTGAGGAGTTGGTTTTAATTTTTATTAGGTTTTTATGTTGAACTCCTCTTGTTTTTATTTCTTTAAATAGTTTAGGTGGTCGGGGGACAGACACAGTCTCTATGGGGTTTTGGGTGGGTGACTGTTCTAAAGAAAGCGCAGAGAAGTGTGTAAGACAGCAGCTCTGCTTCCTGGTCCTAACTCTGGACTGTCAGGTTTTAGAAATAAACTTCGCCATATTTCTAGATAAGAGAGCCGCTCCATCCAAAGTGGGATGGATGCCGTCTCTCCTAATCAGACCAGGTTTCCCCCAAAAAGGCTTCCAGTTATCAATGAAGCCCACATCGTTTGCTGGACACCACCTCGACAGCCAGCGGTGGAATGACGACATGCGGCTATACATGTCATCACTGGTCACATTGGGGAGGGGTCCAGAGAAAACTACGGTGTCCGACATTGTCTTAGCATAGTTACACACCGACTCCACATTAATCTTAGTGACCTCCGATTGGCGTAAACGGGTGTCGTTACCGCCGACGTGGATAACAATCTTACTGTATTTACGTTTATCTTTAGCCAGCAGTTTTAAATTTGATTCAATGTCGCCCGCTCTGGCCCCAGGGATACATTTAACTATGGCCGCTGGCTTCGCTAACTTCACGTTTCTGACTATGGAGCTGCCAATAACCAGAGTTGGTTCCTCAGCGGGTGAATCGCTGAGAGGGGAAAATGTATTAGAAACGTGAAGCGGTTGGTGGTGACCTGTGGGCTTCGCCGTTCTAGTCTTCCTTCGCTCAGTCACCCAGCCTCCCTGTCTTCCCGGCTGCTCGGGAACTACCGGGGGAACTACCGGAGGAACTACCGGGGGAACTACCGGGGGATCTACAGAGCTAACAGAAGCTACCTTCGGTCGGACCGCACCGGCTACCGGGGGCTGGCTAACTATAGCGGCTAAAGATATCTCCGTG